CCCTTAGTTTCGGAGATATTTTTGAAAAACTCACCGACTAAATTTTTTTGGTTGTAAATTCTCAATTGACAACCCTCCCCCCTCCCCTCTTTGCAAAATCTTCTCTCCTCACATTTGAAATTCCCGATATTTGGGTACCCCTCCCTATGTACCTCGGCCGCAATTTTTTAGTTCAGTCTGAAAATTTTCTAAAATTAAGAAAAATTCAGCATTGGTTTTAGAAACTATTAGTTCTTAAAAACAATGCTCAAATTGGTTAATTTTTATAATCCCACCAAGGATAAAGCATAAGAACAGGAGTTTCTGAAATCTAGAAACTAGTTTCTAAAGCTAATCCACTTTAAAACTCACCAACGAGCTAAGTCGGCTACGGAAGGGGGGGGGGGATCTACTGAATTCTTGATGTACACTTGTACACCCCCAAATTTAGAGACGAATCGGTTTGCATCAAATCGAAAAATCGGCTTGAATCAAGCCGAAAATTTGGTTTGAACCAAACTGAAAATTCGGTCTGAATCAAACAGAAAAATCGGTCTGAATCGAACCGAAGAATCGGCTTGAATCAAACCGAAAAATCGGTCTAAATCAACCCGAAAAATTGGCTTGAATCAAGCCGACAAATCGGTTTAAATCAAACCGAAAAATCGGCTTGAATCAAACCGAAGTCGGTCTGAATCAAGTCAGAAAATCGACTTGAATCAGACCGATATTCTGGTTTGCATCTGTCCGAGTCCGACTTGATTCGTACCGTCAATTCGACGTGAAACAAGTCGATTCCCGGCATGATTCAGTCCGACTTGATTCAGACCGANGTCAGAAAATCGACTTGAATCAGACCGATATTCTGGTTTGCATCTGTCCGAGTCCGACTTGATTCGTACCGTCAATTCGACGTGAAACAAGTCGATTCCCGGCATGATTCAGTCCGACTTGATTCAGACCGACTTTTTTTGGGTGTAGCGAATTTTTTTGTAAAAATATTGTTTGTAGAGCAGAATGATATCTACAAAAGAGTTATTGCAAAAATCTCTGTATCTCCTTTGCATTCAGAGATATTGCCCAAAAACCAATTTTCGGATTTAAGTGACAAATCTTGTTTTATATGTGATGTCCAAAAATCTATAAAATAGTTTTTTCCCATAATCTCACAATTATTCTCAATTATATGCGATAAATATTCCGTTTAACTTCATAAACGTGGAACCTAAAAATGCAAAATCAACAATAAATGTTTCACCACACCGGTGAATGCACCTGTCATTGCGACAGGGTGCCACATACCGGGCGGTGAGCCTCAGCCTGCGAAACCAAGCGCTGTCGAAATTGCTGAACCGACAGATCGACTCCCCCAAAGAATAAGAAGTGGGAGAAATCACGCTATAATTTTCACCAATCAAAAGTCGAGTCGTGTAATCATCAAGAATCGATCCGCTCTCCAAAATCGAAATTACAAGTAGTCTGGAAGCAACAGTAAGAGCGTTATTTTGACTTGGTAGAAATTACTTGCGGAATCGATCTGTCGTTTCGACCCCCCCATACAATAATTCGCGAGAGAGTCGGTATTGTGCGTGGTAACCTATCGAATAATAGTAGATAGCTATTGAACGAAAGTGTACAGGGATACTGCATCCTTGAGTCGAAAGTAGTAGTGTTTCTTGCATATTAAGAGGACTAATTAATTAGTTTCCGTGGGTGTGGCCATTCTCAACCAAAAACTTCCAATCTTGTTTAAATTCTAAGCGAGTGGGTGAACGCGATACAATAAGAAGTATTCATAATAGGATCTGAAAAAACTCTTATTCTGGTGAAGAAAGACGATTGTGTTACCGAAGGATCCACAAATTATATACCTAAGGATTAAATTAAGAGACATCATTCAATTGTGAGTTAAATCAAAATACTTTCAAAACTTCGAAATCCAAAGTCCAACTCCAAATCGGCTATCAAAATTTTATAAAGAACTTTCCAGGGATTAATATTCGATTGTTGCTGTATTTTTATTATTAAATTCTTGTAATAGCTTTTACATGGAATTCTAGATTCACTTAAAACTTTTGACTTGTATTTTCAAAAAGATTAAGAATATAGAAGATTACTTTTAAGCATAAAATCTACTCGGAATCTTTTGATTATTTCAAACATAAAATATTCCTCATCCCTGAATTTCCCGTCCGATATTCCAAATTAATAGTATCAATCAAGGTAAGAGCGAAAAATAAAACTTAGCATCGTCCAAATAAAAATAATAATATAAAAATATTTAGCTTAATTTTCCATTCAAAATTTAGCTTCTCCATATTTTTATATCAAAAGTTATAGTTATTATTTCCTGAAAATAATTACTCAATTCGAAAGTTGTCCTCCGACGCTGACGATGTCTCCGGACATAACACATATTTTCACCTCTGACCTAAGTTCTGTGCTGGGTTATGATATTCAGGAGATCTAATTTCTTCGAATCAATGCTCAATAAATCATAAAAATAAACGTCATTTTCCTCGATTTTATCTATGTTCTCGAGCCTTAGTATTCGCGAAAAACGTTTTAGAAACGAATCACTTTCTCTTAAACCTAATGGACCGATCAGCCTAAATTTTGCATGGGGTCCCAGGTAGAAATTATGACTTGCATTTGGGTAGCTGCTAGATTGCAGTGACAGTCACAATCCAACAGCTAGGTAGCCGCGCTAGCCAGACACTACCCGATTCCGTTACGCTGAATAGCGCTGTGGATGGGTTGCACTGCAACCTTTCAGTGCATGGTTCCGTGTGTTTAGATGCTAGGTTGCTGTAGTAGGCTCCTACGTTGCCATAACGTTTAATATTGGTATGGATCTTTTTGAATTAAGGGTGCAAAGTGTATATTGAATCATCAATTTTATTGAAGTTCATTTTGTTTACAAAAATCATGTAAATACTACATTGATAGAAAAATTTACTTCCTATCAATATGATCTAGTAACTGCGAATTCAATAGAATATTCTAATGAGAACAATTGAATATTCTCTATTGATGAACTAACGATCCAGTTGGGAGGTAAATATGATACCAAATAAAAGAAACAGATCTCTCTGCACTAAACTACTCTAGGAATATTAAAGAATATAAATTTGAGAACAACAAAAGGATTCAAGTCACGATCAACACTTATTCTTTGATAGTAAATAAATTTGTCTAGCAGTGTATGGGTTATAAAAACTATATAATGGAAGATGATCAAATCCTGGGTTTGAATGTCGAAAGTCTCTTTCTTCGTCCAAAGCTGGATCAGTCTGTTCTGCGACTGACTGAAGCATTGGCGATTCCAGCGTATGAATGGTGCCAATGTCTATATCCTCGCCACCTTCGCATCCTTCTCTGTGACTACAACATGCCCAGTCCAGTGTATATACAAAATTTAAGTATATAAATTTACTGACCCATTTCTGGAAAAATTACGATAAAAAATTCAATACCCAAGACTTGATATTTACACAGAGGGTGATCATTTTTCATATGATTTCATATGAAAGACGAAAAGAATTAACAATTTTAAACGCAATAGAAAACTGTTCATCGTCATCATTAAAATTCGAAGATAATCTCATACCATTCCCTATAATACAGGCCATGAATTTGGGCATCTCGAGAATAATTCTATCAAAGTTTATCAGAATTATATAAAATAATTCTTCTCGTTTCCTAATCCCATACTCTTGAAAATTATGCAACTTCGAAGTATTATTTTTTGGAAGATGGAATTCTCCAGATGATGGTTATTCTATACAAATTATTTCGTTCAGATTTTGTAGTTGAGTATTCTCTGGCGTGGATAATTTATTTCTGTAAAAGGAGAGAGAGAGACCCCTCCGGGTAGGGAGAGAGAGAGAGAGAGAGAGAGAGATTTTTTTTGCAGGGGGAAAATGCATTTACGCACACGCTCAGATTAGGAAATTCCCAGAGAGTAGTGCCCGAATCAGCCTGGTCTGGATGGTGGCGACCACGAGCTGCCAGGGTTGGTGAGACCTGGCTTGGTTTAGCCCGGCGAATGTGCAACCAATACGGACTAAAAACATACCCCTGACACCTGCCTCCTATTCCCCCGTGGAACCGCCGTTAGGCATTACAGCACGGGGGGAGGGTTTAGCCGTAGCTCTTCCTTCGGCCGATCGAAGTCAGCGCTTCTTCCATCTCATTTCTTCCTCGTCCTCTTATTTCTGTTCCTCTCTTGTTCCGCCTTGTAAGTCTTTTAGGACTTCCGCTGCGAAGGCGCTAGTTGCCTCCCAGGTTGCCTCTGGTGAAAGCATTGCTTCCACCAGGTTTTCAGGCTGAACTCTCTCTCCGAGTGTAGTCTCGAGTGTGCTGCGGGGCCCGTTGAAGCGCGGACATACGAAGAACGCATGCTCCGCATCTTTGGAGACTCCTGTGCAGGCCGGGCACTCCGGCGATTCCTCATATTTGAACCTATGAAGATATTACCGGTAGCACCCGTGTCCTGAGAGCATCTGTGTGAGATAGTAGTTGACTTCTCCGTGCGTTCGTTTGACCCATGCATCCAATTTCGGGATCAGGCGGTGAGTCCATCTCCCATTGGTCGAGCCATCCCACAGCAACTACCATCGATGCAGACTGTTGTTCCTCTCATCCGTCCTCAGCTCAGCTGAACTCAGCGTTGTTGACCTTTTTCGCCGATAGAGACAACGTCGTTCCTCGGCAAGTACTCCTATCGGCAGCATCTCGGCGATGACACACACGGCATCTTCTGATACCGTGCGAAATGCGCTGGCAACTCTAAGGGTGCTCAATCGATAAACTGACGCCACCTTCCGTCGCACATGTTGGATCAAGAGTACGTCAGCCCAAATGGAAATGCCATATGTGAGGACCGACGTGACAACTGATGACAGCAACGCTCTTCTTTTCTGGTTTGGCCCTCCGACGTTCGGCATGAGCCGTGAAAGGACAGTCTCAACTCCAGACGCCTTCGCGCCGACGTACTCCACCTGCTGCTTGAAGCTGAGTCAAGCATCTATCATCACTCCCAGGTATCGTAGGGATGGTTGGGAGGTGATGTCGTGATTCCTGACATGCAGCGTGATGGTTTTGATCTTCTGTCGGCTCGTGATAAGCACAGCCTCCGTTTTATGTTCTGCCAGCATCAGTCCCATTGAGTCCATCCATTGACGAATTCTGTCATATGCAATATCGAAAATATAATTGATCTCCTCCAGGCGTTTTGCAACGATTACCAGAGCTACATCATCCGCAAATGCGACGAGTATAGCCTCCTTGGGTAACGCTAACTTCAGAAGACCGTCGTACATAACGTTCCACAAGAGAGGGCCAAGCACCGAGCCCTGGGGAACGCCACCAGTGACTCTGTACTCTTTTGGGCACGCGTCTGTATCGTATTTCAGGACTCTGTCTGTGAAGTAGCTTCACACCATCCTCCACAAATATCCTGGTACATTCAGCTTTGAGAGGGCCTCCATGATGTTGTCCCATCTGGCGGAGTTGAAGGCATTTTTGATGTCCAACGTTACCACCAAACAGTACTGCTTCGCGCCTCATTTCCACCTCGCGCCAGAGATTGCGTCCCGTGCAATGGAGACGACTAGGATGATGGCATAAAGCGTGGAACGACCTTTACGAAAACCGTATTGATTGTCAGCCAATTGTGGTTCGACCACTTCCTCGATCCTCTGGTGAAGTATGCGCTCCAGTATTTTTCCGGCTGTGTTCAGCATGCAGAGTGGACGATAGGACGAGGGTTCGTCCGGTGGCTTCTTGCCTTTCGGAAGGAGCACCAGTCTCTGTTACTTGCACTTGGTTGGAAATATCCCCTCCTGAAGACACGCATTATAGACACTCAGGAAGGCTTCTGGCGCTGCGTTGATTATCACTTTCAGGGCGGCATTCGGGATTCCATCCATTCCTGGTGCCTTGGCATTCCCGAATCTGCCACAAGCTTCCAGCAGCTGCTCAAGTGTCACTGGTGGGATCGCCTCTGCATCGCACTTCTCAGTGAAGAAGTCGAGCTCCGGTTGTTGTGGGAACAGCACCGTTACGATTTTCTCCAAAAGCTCAGGGCACGTAGGCGACAGCATCGGCTGGCTTCTGAACCTCTTCATGACCACACCGTAGGGTCGCCCCCACGGGTCCACTTCGACTTCGTCAAGGAGCTCATTCCACGCCTCTCTTACTTTCCTTGATCGCCTTATTGAGTGTCCGGCGTGCCTCCTTATACTTGATCTCCAGTTCTTTGGAGTTTGGCTTCTTCCGGCCTCGTTGTGCTTGCCTCCTCGCTCGAATGCAAGTCTTTCGTAGGGTGGCGATGGTGTTGTTCCACCAGTACACCGATGGATGGTTGCTTGTACTAGGCTTCGGGGCATAGTTGCATCGCAGGCTTCGGTGATTCTACGCATAACTTCCCCCACTTTCTCCGTGGCGTTGCTTCCTCGGATCGGGCGATCGTCGAATATTTCACGGAGTAAGTTGGACCCAAGGGCGTTCGACTTCCATCCAACCGCGTTGGTCTTGTTGGCTGCAGATCCAGTTTTCCGAACGGCGGATACTTCCCAGGAAATCGTGTAGTGGTCACTAGCGGTGTAGATATCCATCACCTCCCAGTTGCAGCTTCCCCTAGCAAGGCTGCTGCTTACGAAGGTGAGGTTTATGATTGAACTAGCCCCTCCTCTCTCGAAAGTTGGATTTTCGCCACTGTTCAACAGTACCACGTCCAAGAAAGACATGGCCTTCAGTAGCGTTTGTCCCCTCGTGTTTGTCTCCTTGTTGCCCCAGTCGACTGCCCAGGCGTTGAAGTCCCCAGCCATTGCTATGGGGAAGTGCTGCTGCGCGTCATCGGTCAATCGATCCAGAAAGTCTGTAAACTCGTCGATGGATAGGCTATGCGGAGCATGGTGTCCGCACTTTTTTCCTTTGGAAAAAATCTTTTGGAAAAAATCTCTCGGAAAAATACTTTTTTTTCAAAATTACTTGTGAAAATTTTTTTTCCGGAAAAATTATTTGGCAAATTTTTTTTTGGAAATAATTTTCCGGTATTAATTTTTTTGGGAAAAAATAACTTGTGTTAATGGAAATAATTTTGAGCTCACGAAATTCCCAAGGATACATATATATTTGGGTATTAGCCACGGCACAATATGAACACTACACGCAACAGTGTCATAAGTGGGGGAAATTAATTCTCCAGTCGATTGTCGCTATCCCTTCCAACGTCAATTTTACTATCGCACCATTCAATACATTTCCAGCTAGAATCTAAAGCCAAAATATGCCCATTAAGTCTAAAATTTCCCTGAACTTCTGTCAAAATTATTTTCTGTACATTTTTTATGTAAAAAATGGATGCTATTTTTTTTCTGACATTTTTTCCAAGGAAGTAAAAAAAAGGAATTAAATTCCGGGAAAAAAAAATTCCCAAGTAATTTTTTCCGAAACAAAAAATTCCCAAGTAATTTTTTCCGGGAAAAAAAATTTACCAAGTAATTTTTTCCGGAAAAAAATAATTCCGGGAAATTTTTTCCGGAAGTTTTTTTCCTTAAGGAATAAGTGCGGGAACCGCGGAGCATAGCAGCTGCAGAAGTGAATTCCACCCAGCTTAGCTCTCACAAAGCCGCTCTGTGCAGTATTGCCGCCACTCTGGAAGGGGTATTTACCGCAGGACAAAATAACGGCCTTGGCGCTGGTGTCCGTCTCCCATGGCTGATCATGCAGATATTTGTATGACTCCGAAATAATTACCAGATCGGGCTTCAGCTCCCGCATCGACTGTGTAAGCAGGTCGTGTGCAGCCTCACATTGGTTGAGGTTAAGCTGAAGTATTCTCATCGTCGATTTTTGGTCAATGCCTGAAGTGCCTCCTTGTATGCTGGGCATCTACCGCTGCCAGCAAAATGAGCACTGTTGTCTATGCGACCCTTTGCCCCGCAGAGGACGCATTTGGCATCTTTCTCGCATTTTGCATTTGATACAGTTTTTGGATCGGTCAACCGAGCTTTTGCACTTATTGGCAAGATGCCCGAAGTCCCAGCACTTGAAGCACTTCAGAGGTCTCTTCACTCTTCTGACCCGGCAGTTTACCCACCCGATCTTAATCTTGCCGTGTTCTCCGACAATTTTCTTCGTCGTCGCGACTGGCAGTCTCACCCAGGCCGTCTGAGTACCTCCGTATGCCTTTCGCAGTGACTTGACCGCATTTAGCGAAATTCCGCAACATTCTCCGGCAGCCTTCTGCAAAGCTTCGACGATTTCTTCCTTCGTTGCTGTCTCCTCGAGGTCCTTGATTTCGATATCCTCTTCCGGTGTCTTACTGAGGACCTGCGCATCATCTCCAAAGAGTTCAGTGATGGCGTTCTGCAGGCCTGAAGCTTTGTCACTGTCCTCCTTCGAGAGGATGATCAACATGTCACCCGTAGCCGTCTTCCGGATCTTTTCCACGCACTGTTGGGACTCACGGGCTGTCGCGTCCTGCTTCATTCGCTTGAGGATATCAGAGTATGACCCTTTGTCTTTTGGACGGATGATCAGCGCGTCAGGCCTTGCCGCACGCTTCCTCTGCCGCGGGGGCTGCTCTGTAGACTGCTTCTTCCTCTTGTTCTTCTTCCCTTTGGCTTCCTGCCACTCCGACGTCTTGGGAAGCTGGGTTCTCGATTCGGGCGGCGATGGTGCTATCTGCTCCTTCCGCTTCTTCGAAGATTTAGCGTCCACTTCGGGAGAGGTGCGCTTCCGCCGCCTCCCCGTGACGGTGTTCCGGAAATTAGGCGTTAGCGTTTCGCACTCTTCCACCTCGGTGTCTTTTGCCGTCGTCTCAGAAAGAGTACGAGTGTGCGATGGCGTTGCAGACGTCCGCACTACGACTAGTGTCAAGAGATGCTGAGGGCTTGTTTGCCTTGTCCTACCTACCTCTGTCTCCTTCAGTCTTCTATAAGCGGTTGCGATAGCCGCTAATTTCGTCTTAATCTCCTTATGGACGTTTGGCTTAGGGTTGGCAAAATTATACAGTTCGGTGATCAGCTGGTCAAGTCGGTCCCATGCCTGCGTCCTCTTCATCGCTGCACTTGCATCAAGTGCTGCTTTTTGGGCATGCTGCCCGCTCATTTCTCCTTGATCTCCATTCAGTTTTGTTTTGTTTGTCCTCCATTTTGTTCCCACGAGTACCTAGGGATGTAACAACAGTCCGCCCCCGCAGAGCCCCGGCTGCTGGGGTAAGGCCACTTAATACACCCGGGGTGGGACCTGGTGCCCCAGGGACCACCGTTTGCGACGCCAACCACCCCTGCCGCCTTCCAGAACTCGGTACAGTGAACACCTTAACATTAGGGTGAGGCTGTTGAAGGGAGCCCACCCTGCACNTTGGCGCCGTCCAGAACTCGGCACGGTGAATATCTTGACATTAGGGTGAGGCTGTTGAAGGGAGCCCACCTTGCACGCCACCGTTAGAGTTGGGCCTCTCCCCAAGATGTCCTGAAAAGGACACGCCTTGTCTTGAACTGCTTCTTAGTTTGGGTAAGCCCCTCCACCGTCGTCAAGGTCCTGCAGTTCCTAGGAGGGGAGAGAGAGAGAGAGAGAGAGAGAGAGAGAGAGAGAGAGAGAGAGAGAGAGAGAGAGAGAGAGATCTCATATATTCTTGATATACACACGTTATATTGATAACATATTCACGTTTTTTATTAGGATGATGGAAAAAAAAACCGTATCATCTCGAACAAAAACGTAAATATCGCATTAGCTAACAAGAACAAAGAAAAATCTCAAAAAAGTAATTTCATGGTAAATTTTATGATAAATATTTATTTATTTCATACGTTTTTTCCTATTTCGCTCGAATTCGCGACTAAACGCTCAGAAGTGCGCCGGCGCGTAGTGCTACCGTGCCGGCCGTTTCGCTCACAACTCCGATATCTCCTTATCTATGATAAGTAGAAGGAAAAGCCATACGATAAAGAACGTTCATTTTTATGCAAGGAATGTTTTTTGTTTGAATATTTTTTCGATAGATTGAATAGATTGCACGCTCCGGTGATTCAAACAATTACCGGAGCGTTTAAACAATTGTTTATAACTTTTTAATGTGCCAATTTGGTCAAGTCCAACAAACAAATTCGGATTCGTCTTGGCGAGACGAGTACTTTTTATTCAAATTTTTTTGTTGTAGACCCCACTATCCCGGAGTTATGCCCATTTAAACAATTCAATTGTTTATAACTTTTTAATGGTTCAATTTGGTGAAGTCCAACAAACAAATTCGGATTCGTCTTGGCGAGACGAGTGCTTTTTATTCGAACTTTTTTGTAGCAGACCCCACAATCCCGGAGTTATGCGCACTTAAACAATTAAATTGTTTATAACTTTTTATTGCACCAATTTAGTGAAGTCCAACAAACAAATTCGGATTCTACGACCCAAAAAACAAAAAAGTCAAAGTCGACCCTTGGACCTCTCAATGAATACCTTTCGACCCCTAGCGTATGGACTATACGGCCTTACGGCTGCATCTACGAAAGAACTTGACATAGACAGTTCACTGCACTGTGGCAACTCCCTGACATTGCTGGTTGGTGTCTGTAGTCAGATGCACGGATTTTGTTATGCAGAGCTGAGGATCAGTACCGATAGCCCAGCAAAGTGTCAAAAATGCATAACATTGTAATGCAGCCTAGCCACTGGGTTCATCCTTGGAACTGCAAGACATTTTTCTATCTGGGGTTAGTCTTCACTAATATCTCAAATCTGACAAAATTTCATATTTTTTTATATTACTTTAGCCGTTTAATTACTTGATTCTCTAAAAATTGATCGCCTGGATGGTGGCAGTGGAAACTTTGTATTTTCATATTTCAGCCCATTCTACATCATTTCCACTCAGTATTAAAAAATGTGGAAATCGAGCGATTACAATGCAGTAGTGAAGCGGTAAAACTGTTTAAGTCGATTTTGACTATTGGTCAGTTTATACCATTGGTCAGATAGCAAAATTTTTGATATAACCTTCTTTGTAGAGCGAACGAAGTGCTATGAAAAAGGTAATTACAAAAATTTTGCTATCTTCCCTAGATTCGAAGATATTCCCCAAAAACTCAGTTAACAGCTAAGTCGACTTAAAGAGTTTTACCGCTTTGCTGCTGAATGCTTCCATGCGGAAGCAAAAATCAATAGAGAATAAGGAGAACATAAATTTTGCAACCACTTTATTAATTATTACTGGAAGTGGATCCACTCTTAAGTATTCAAAGTTATTTCAGGTCAGATTTCGGTCAACAGCTGATCGAAATGTTGTCCAAAACGACATTGGACAATTGCGAACGTAGAGTAATGCCATCATCACTTAGTTCTGCTCCTAGAAAATAATTTGAACTAATGTTTTTTTTAATGAATTAAGTTGGCAATGACTTGATTGTAATGATGATTAAGTTCCACTCCCAGTCCCTAACTATTTGCCAGTGTCTGTTAAACAGCATATCATAGACACCCATCGTTCATTAGCACCAACCATAGCATGAGCATGGTAACTTTGCCGAAAAATAAAAAGTTGATTGAAGGATTTCGGGCAATGTCCAGTTGCAAGTTCTTATATAAACTTACGACGAATTTCGTTAAAGAAGATGATAGAATGAAAAAAAATTTTTTTCCGATAAGTCAGTCGGTTTATAAGATTTTTATGGGCAGTGGGTTTTCCAAAACTGAAGCGTTTGTAAAAATGATATAAATTTTATTTTTCAATTGTTAAGTACTATACAAAAAATTCCGGGTTCGATAGTAAATACAAAAACATACCTAAGGACTTTTTTTAAAACATGATACTATTACAATCCAAATTATGTTAAAAACACAAAGAGTTCAGATAAAAGAGTGCCACGAGTTCAAAGGATCAACTCGGAAGCAAAAATCGCAATATTTCAATTCATATTGTGTGTACATAGATGCATTTTCGAATTGATTCAACTGAATGTCTCCAGGGCACACACTGTACTACTGATAAGATACTTTGCACAGTGGATTATGATGCTGATGACTATATTTAATATCATAATCTCGATGTATCCAACTCACACATGAATTTCTCTTTCTAAATAAATACACCATGAAGACAGACAAATTCCAGTGGAATATTCAAGACGTGAGGACTGTGGAAGCCAGCATGAAGCAATAGAGACGGCAAACAAGATAAAAGAAGAAAAATAAAATAGGCAAGCCGTCTTATGTTTCTGTCTTATTTCATTGTACAATTACGATATGAAATATGACATAAACTTAAGGTGGGTACCTATATAAGCATCAATTGGAAGTTTCACATGGAATAATCATCAGCTAAACATCCAATGTTGGGGAAAAGGACTACTCAAATTGCTGTACATTGAGGAAAATATAACTATTCAATGATTAATAAATTTGCCAAGTGATAATATTAGTCTCCTTTAAATTGTACATAACATATAAGCAGCCCCGTGGGCTGCACACCAAAAGCCCCGTGGATCCACAGATAATATGTGATAAAGGTCATGAATTTTCTCATAACAGACAAGGAGAGGGAGAAGAATGAATCCGATGCTAGGCGCTAAGCCGAATCCCTCAAAGTGCAGTGGAGCTTACACGGCTAGCATTACCCCAGGTACGGCCTAAGGGGAACGATGGCTGTTTTCTCTTCCTTGGTGAGATATGGGCGCTCGCATTCCATCCCTTATTAGGTTCGATCGCTTCGTATCGTATGATGTCTATGTCTGTCTTGCACCCAAGAAATAGGAAAATCATTGACGTTTGACGACCTCGGATAACATTTTCCACAAATCTTCGCAGATTGAGGCTAAGTTGGAGAAAATATAATTACTCATATCAATTATGCATAGCTGATTTCAATGAATTGAGTTGATAGGGCAGAAGGTTGCCAAAGGTTGCCAATTATGCTAGTGGCCAACGGAAATATCGAGATATTATCCATTTACATTGGATGAGGTAATTAGGCCGCTCTAATGCCAATATTTTCCTCTGTTTGACGTACGAGTGTCATGTTTATGCGCTCACGTTTTTAAGGATTCACTGTACGCTTGTCATTGCACACATTGTTGGTCAAAACCTTAAGGTTCTTTGATGCTGTTATGTAACGATGTTTTATGAGATTTTTGTAGTGAAGTTTATTATTCAATTGGAATGCTAACAGAGAACCCTAAACAAGGTTCGAATAGCTCTGCCGGTTGAAATTTATCGTGAAGAGTATAGGAAATGTACTGTTCTTTCACGATCTTTTCCTCTTAAATAATCTTTCATAATACATCCTAGAAAAACTTGCTATGCAGCACAGTAAATCGAACGATACCCTGAAGTTTACACAAAATTCATGAAAAATTTCCGCTGCTACAGGAAATATTACTGGTGCCACCGAATTAAATAGTGTGGAAATTTTTGCTGAAGTGGCCATCCATTTTTACCAGATTTTTAATGAATTTTTACCGTGCTGGCAACAGATTTTTTGCGGCCACTTTACTGTGCAGTACATTAATGTTTGTTTGTATCTATGAAGAAAAATTCACGTATTTTTTTTGTGCAGGGAAGAGTAAGGCACAATAGATATCTTCGACTTTTTGTTATTCTCATAGCTGCTTGAATTTTCGATGAAATATGATAATTGTCATTTCTATGCAGAATACACCTTCTACCTTTTGTAATAGACCTAGAATAAGCTTGATTGATGAATTCATTAGTGAGTTATGAACATTCTAAAGAAGGCCAAAAATGTCTATTTTACGCTACCCTTCCCTATTAACAGAGAGTACAAATACTCTCTTTAAGAGGTCAAGTCGTGCCCATCTAATTCTAGTTGTTACTTTGGGACTGCATTATTCATATCCGATTTTAATTGATCATTAAAAAGTTTGAAATATTCGTCCATCGACGTGAATTACTAATGGTGAAGACAACAGCGAAGAAATTGAAGAAATAATGATTTGAAAAATATATGATTTAGTTGCATACTCATTGTGCCCTTATTCTCCATGATACACGTGTCGTAAATAGCCGAGACGAACAGCCCATTGGACGGTACAACACAGCGGTGAAGCACTATTGGACAATAGATTAAATGACCACGTGGGGCTGTAGTATATAACCAGGGGTGAAGTATGAAATTACCGACAGTTGTCTTGGGAACTCGTGAATGATATCAGTGGTGAGGATGTCAGTAAACGGGAACTAATATCTGTGCAGTGTGAGAGACTAGAAATATATAATTGTTCAAGTTTTGTTTTTGTAAATGACAGAAAACATTTGTCCAGTTAACTATTGACGCCTTTATTTCATCAAATCCTCACGTAAGTGATCAAATCCTGGAAGATTCCCCCTTCCTGAAACCGCACAGAACTATGCGAGAATTGATGAAATCATCCGTTTAATTATGAAAAAACAAGTGAATCGACTCTGATGAGACTTTTATTGCAGAGAAAGAATGAAATTTTTTTCTCTCAGTTTCTTCAGAACAAATTATTTGCGATTTCGGGGACCTGGTTCCATCACACATGTACGTATACCCCGTCATCAGAGGCATCGAGGTCGCCCTCAAGCATAAAGCCATTGTAAACCACCCTGATATTACGTATATAAAAATCGAATATGATGAATTTTCCATAAGTACAAAACTGTCCCAACGCTATAGCACCTCCAGATGTCTATTCCCTACGGCTCACCCACCGCACGATAAATGCTCAATGTTCACCGCCGTGATACCGATCCCTTTAAATATCCAAGTTTCATATTCCCTCCTGCTTATTGCCTCTACCATTCGGTCTTTTTTTTTGAGAAGCTACCAGTAGGTCGTGTACAGCCCCCGTTGAGAATAGAAATTCATTATTTATGGTGCTACAAACATATGCCACAGTTCTACTGGCCTCATATCGTCAAGTATGATTTATCATTATTGTTCCTGTTTTTTTTAGAAGGAAATGCAAATTTAGTGTCTATGGATTGACGAACAAGCCTGGAATTGGACCCCAATGCAGCTGCTGGCCACTGCACAAGATTAGACATAAGACTCTTGTGCGTGTGACAGCGGCTATGATGGGGCTTCCGTTACGCTTCGGCTTAAATAATGTCTGTAATGTACCTGGGGAAAGATGATATACCGGTGGAACCTCTCGGCCGGGGAAGAAGGGAGGAAAGAAGATGTCGAAGGAAGACCCATAAAATCGTGTGATTCCTCGTCGTATCGCTTTCCGGAATTAGATACGAAAGTTCAATATTAGAAGCAATGGTGATGATTACGGGTGGATTTTTTTTATTGTGACCTCTGTCCAATGAAGGTACCAGTGGATTGTGATTGATTGATCTGGAAAAGCAATGAAATCCTCGAAGTAGTCAAACGAGGATTCTCCCCCAAAGAATGTATTATTTTGGACTCGAATTGAAAATGACACTGCCAAGTTTATATTTTCATTTCAAGGATATTGATTTTCCTATTGAAAATATTACTCAAGCAGGATTTAAAATTTAGCAAAAAAATCTTGAACTATTCGACAACTAATATTAACGACGATTAGCATTCATGTGGAATTTTAATACATCTTGTTGCTAAAAAAGTAGTCAATTTTAGAAAAATTCAATAAAAATTTGCGCAAATATTGCCTCAATTTTTTCCTCTAGGGGAGAGTGAAGCAAAATGGAACATTCGAAAAATGACTGACGCAATTCAAGCAAAAAATTTGTTTTTTCTTAAATATTTTTTTTTATCAACTTTTTTTTATTATTGGGAGTACTAATGAGTAGTCTTAATTCAATTGATTATAATTCAATTAATTCGATTAGGCCGATTACACTTTTCTTTTTCCATTCGTTTGAAATTCAGCATCACATTTTCCTTTTTCCCTCTCTGAGTCTCCCCTGGATCTTCCTCTGGACTTTGGATTTTCCCTGTTTCATTTTGTTTTTAATTAATCAATTGACAAAATTTTCTTCCGTCAAAACTTCTCAATAATTTTTCATTCTACTCAATGGAAAATTATTATTCTCATTAATACTCTCACAAATAAAACAAAAGTTAATAAAGTAAAAATTTAACAAAAAAAATTATTTTCGCTTGAACTGCGTCAGTCATTTTTGGACTGTTCCATTTTGCCCCACTTTCCCCTATTTAAAATTCAATTGAATACAATGGTCAGTTTTCAGGACGAGTTGATAAATTTCAATTTATTGTTCGATACGATCGTGTTAGAAATTCTTTAACAACTTGATCTCAGAAGATTCGAAATAGGAATGTAACTGTGAATTAACTTTCAATAAATTGCCACACGTTCACTTGGATACACTTAATAATACTTGATAACCAGACTCATTTAAAAATAGTTTTTTTTTTGTGAAAACATGAAGTTATTATTTTTTGGTCTAAAGGAAGACTCTAGAGGATGTGGTTATTCCTCGCAAGTGATAAACAGCTATGAATATTGCGCAGAATAGTAATAGATATACGAGTGTATTACCGAAGAATGTTGATAAAAACGGAGACAGTAAGTGGGGAATTCTCAGTTACCAAACAGTCACTGAAAGGCGTCCACACCAAAGCAAGGAGATACAGAGGTAAGAAGTCATTGAAATGGCTTTTATTATTAAAGAACTTGTACAAAATAATTTTATAAAACATTATTTGCTGTCCAGGCATGCTAGCAATTCAAATTTGGGGTTTTCAGGGGAGAAAGGAAATGAGGAAAATATTTGAGGGGGAAAATTCAATTTGTAAATGCCTTTTTTTGCCATAGGCCTTAGATTTTTTCACGGCTTCCATAGAAAAATATAATTTTTGACTCGGAATGTAATATAAATTTTTCTTCTTTTTTTTCAATTATTATTTTACATCGCTCTGACTCGCACAATTCTATGCGCCCAAGTCTTGAACCCGGGATCTCGACCATGTGAACCAACAACAGGTCTTTTTTCTCTTTGATATGTCTATTTTTTTTATGTACATCTCTCATGACAAACAAAAGATTACGGATTTGTTGATTCATCTCCATTCATCTTCATTGCGAAGCATTGAATGGGCTTGCAATCTTTGCCATCACCGAGACAAAGTACAGTCTCACCGTCTTGTAGTTCATGCCTGGCGATTACTTCAGGTGACGAGTATGTCATACTACAAGTGTCCATATCGTTAGACCCAGTGCTCAACCCTGAAGCTGAAAAATTGCATTTCACGGTTATTAATAATACATATACATATGAAGATTGGATGAACTTGTTTCATTGATTAAAAAAGGACATACAACCTCCTTTCCGATTGATCGCACGTTTTTGACAAATGATGCTCCTTAAAAGCATCAATGCTCTTCCATCCATTGCATCAGGCTCCACTCTTAAACTTTGTTTCAAGTGGTATATGGCACCGGTGTTGTTTCCTTTCACATGGAGTAAAGAGCCATACAGATAATTCGTGAGGGGCTGCAGTGAAAATTCAAAATCATGGATCAATCTCAGTGTATGAATGAGTAAAACGTTCTAGTTATGCGTAGGCAATATTTTTGAAAATATTCTGAAGTAGCAAACTAGATACTAAATACAAATTCGTTCTTTAAATGTTTACTAATTTGCTTTTGTTCTCCTAAATTCATAGCAGAATTATCTAGAAAAGAAAGATACTTCGGACGCGAGAGATTCTCGATTTTATTTATGAAACTCCTCTCCATTATGGTATTTCAACAGCGATGAAGATTCTTCGAAATTACTTCATGTCAAAAGCATAACCCGTTCCGCCAGGTCTTCCTCAGATGTAAGAGGAAGAAAAAAATTATTAAAATGTCAGGAATTTACAAAAAATCACTTTCATTAAGTAAATTGAAAAATTGATATCAAAGTGTCACCTGCCATGAACCTAAATTTTGCTTCCAGAAACAAGCATTGAAAGCGTAATTTTTTTAGATTCTCGTTTTCTTGATGATTATTTTCGATATTGGGATCCTGCTCAATTAAAGCGTAGTATTCGATGACATGAAGTACATCAAGAATCGGTATTGAATTATTAATCGCCCCCTAAATTTTGATAATTTCCTTGTAATTTTGCAATTGTTTTTAAAGTGAGAGAATAATGACGATTTTTCATTCTCCAGAATTTTCTGGCAATCCTTGACATTATTCCGATAATCCTTGATTTTCGAAACCTTTGAACTGTTGCCGATGAAATCCTGAAGGAAATGTGTATGTATGAGATCAGTTTTACAGTAAAATCAGAATTCAGTAATTTTCTCCTCGTCAATGTCCGGGGATTGGCATTGACACTTCTCCAAACTCGTAAAAGTGAAAATCACTACGGAAAAATATAGTTCACGACTAGTGCCATGGGTTTTTTTGAGTCGCGTGATTGGCCCAACCTTGCCAGACCTGGGCCCACGTGAGTAAAAAATCCCTTGCTACTCGCCCTAGAATATATTCCGTAAATACTCGAAATTAATTCTATTCTATTAGGGGTATCACTTAATCTTTCCGTTTTTTTCATTGAGTGCGGTGTCTTATTTAAAATTTAAATATTTACGCGTCCGTTCGCGATTGTGAAGAGTCAACCTTACTGTTTTTAATACGCTATATATCATGCCTGGAAGAGCTGTGTAACTTCACAAAAATAGTATATACAATAGTATATACAAGTAGTATATACAATGGCGACCGATGCGCAGCACATTCGGCACTGTATTCTCTACGAGTTCCAACAAGGGAAAAAAGCCATTGAAGCCCACGATTCGATTTGTTCTACTCTCGGAAGTAATATTGTGTCTTATGATACGTGTAGATATTGGTATAAACGCTTTAAAGATAGTGATTTCGATCTCAGTGACCGGGAACGTCCTGGACAGCCTCTGAAATTTGAAGATGCTGAATTGCAAGAATTACTCGATAAAGACTCAACGCAAACGCAAAAACAGCTTGCAGCTCAGCTAGGAGTTACTCAAGCAGCAGTCTCTAAATGATTACACGCAATGGGAAAAGTACAGAAGGTAGGAACATAACCTCGGCCAACGCATGAACACGTGCCTTTCGTTGCTCGCCAAGTACCAGAAGAAAATTTTTTTGTCAAAAATTGTGACGGGAGATGAAAATATATTTTTTTTGCTAATCCCAAACGGAAAAAGTCATGAGTGAATCCAGGACAACCATCGACATCCACTCCCCAACAAAAAATTCACATGAAAAAGGTTTTCCTCTGCATCTGCTGGGATATGAAGGGTGTACTCTATTACGAACTTTTGGAAACGGGTCAGACAGTTACTGCAGAACGCTACAGTCGACAATTGAACAAATTGTGCGAGGTACTTGATGAGAAGAGGCCATTTACTGGGCAAGGGAGCCGGAAAGTCATGTTGCTCCATGATAACGTTCGACCTCATGTTGCTCGCGCGACTCAGAAAATGATGTTAAGCTTGGGCTGGACGGTTGTCGAGGACGCGGCATATTCACAGGACTTGGCCTCTTCCGATTACCATCTGTTCCGGTCCATGCAGCACGCCTTAGAGGCAAGACGCTTCACGGAGAGAAATGTTCAGTAAAAATTACGGAACTCGAAGTTCGCTCACCGATTACGGAATCGATTCAGAAAATTTAAGTGACGGTATCGTAGTTTTTCACAGGAGATTCAGATAAAAATTACGGAACGCTCTGGAAAAATTCCGTGACAGTTCCGTAAAATTTCCTACAACCACATTTCGCTGCGGAATTACGGAAAAGATACGTAATTTTTATTGAATATTTCTCTCCGTGTTCCAAACTCTGGACGATATACGAAAATTCGTCGATGACTTCATCGCCTCAAAGCCTGCAAGTTTTTTTTCGCGATGGCATTCGTATATTACCAAATCGATGGCGCAAGGTCATCGAAAACTATGGACGATATTCCGAGGATTGATCTAGTATTTATATATTTTATGTTACATATTTTTCGATAAAAAAACGGAAAGATTAAGTTATACATCTAATATTATATCTATGCATGCGGAAAGATTTTTCTATAGAATCTACGGAAAATTCAAACAATTCCGAATTTTTCTACACAGAGAAAAAAAATAGATTAGCTTTAGAAATTAGTTTCTACATTTTAGAAACTCCAATTCTTAAGCCTTATCCTTGGTAGGATCGTAGAAACTAACGAATTTGGGGATTGTTTTTAAGAAGAAATATTTTCTAAAATCAATGCTGAATTTTTCTTAATTTTAGAAAATTTTCAGATTGAACTAAAAAATTGCGGCTGAGGTATTTAAAGGGCGTAAGTGCCCCATACATAAGGAGGGGGGCCGGAATATTGAGAACTTCAGATGTAAGGAGGGGGGATTTTGCAAAGAGAGGGAGGGGAGGGGGCGTGTGAATTGAGAATTCACAACCAAAAAAATTGAGTCTGTGAGTTTTTTAAAGATATCCACGAAACTAAGGGAGATAACGAATTTTTACTGAAAAATTGGCTGGGGGAGGGGTGGGGGGAGGGCTGTACATCGAGAATTCAATAGAACTTCCCTTCCCTCCCCCCAAATTTTCGTAAAGATTGGCTGTCTCTCTTAATTTCGGAGATATTTTCGAAAAACTCACCGAGTTAATTTTTTTGGGTGTAAATTCTCAATTGACAACCCCCCTCCCCCTCTGTGCAGAATCCCCCCTAAAAAATTGAAGAAATTTTCTAGATTTTAGAGAATATTTTTTCCAAAAATTAAGTATATTTATATGATACCTGCGTGTAACCGCATGGGTTTCAGTTGACTATAGTCAACTGGGAAGTAGCGGGTTTCGAGCGCCTACCCACACTCAACTGAAACCCGAAATAACGCACGACGCGCATGCGCATCACCTGTTAAAAGAGAATAGCAAGGAAGGAAATCTAACCTCCGAATAGTGAATACATGGAATGACTGAAAAATGAAAAGGTGATTTTCGAAGCAGATAAAATGAGCCAAAATCGTATAATTCCTGATAGTGATGAAGAGTTAGACAGTGAGGAGGATTTATTTACTGATGAGGAGGAGTTGATTGGGGATGTGACATTTGAAGAAAATGCAAATGAAATATTCTCCAATGAAGCAACAGCAGGTTCGCCAAAAACTCCTTCTTCGATCAAATACTGTAACTTAAGGGCTTTATGAATTCTAATGATCAAAATAATGTCAAGGAAACACAGAAAAATTATTTTTGGTTTTCAGAGACATGTCACAGAATTCACCGAAACTTCACTGAAATTTGGTGATTGATTTCTAGAAATTAGTGATAAGTCATTGAGAATTCAGTAACGAAAATGAAATTTTTCAATCACACTTTTTCATAATTATTTTTTTAAATAAATATGATCTTTTTTCTTAAGTGGGCGGAAGCTTCGCCCCCCCAACCCCCCCCCCACCGAGGGCTTCGCCCCCTGGACCCCCTTTTCTCGTGGGGGGCATTGCCCCCCCACTTGCCCCCCCTCCACCCCCAAACTTCATCACGCACTTATCATATAAAATAGTNTTTTTTTAAATAAATATGATCTTTTTTCTTAAGTGGGCGGAAGCTTCGCCCCCCCAACCCCCCCCCCACCGAGGGCTTCGCCCCCTGGACCCCCTTTTCTCGTGGGGGGCATTGCCCCCCCACTTGCCCCCCCTCCACCCCCAAACTTCATCACGCACTTATCATATAAAATAGTATACGCAACACGTGCGGACAGCAGGCGGTGTCACTCGGGCGGCTGCGCCGCCCTCGTGAGTAACCGCCTGCTTTCCGCACTAGTTGCGTAATGTAATATTTGGTTTCAAATTAATCCCCAGTTTGATCATTAATTTTAAACGATTTCTTTCTAGAACGTAGAAAAAAGTTTCTAGCTTTTTGAAAACTGAAGGTTAGAAACCAAGGTTTGTAAAATTTAGAAACTTTTTTCTAAAGTTAATCCACTTTGACTCTCTGTGTATAGAATCTACGGAAAATTCAAACAATTTCAATAAAAGTCCGATAGAATTTCGTAGTGGTGGGATGAGGAGTGTGTTAGAGTGTTGAGGTTTCATAGAGCAGAGTATAAAAAATGGAGACTCACGAAGAGATTTTTTGATCTCATAACCTACAAGAAATCTATCGCTGTTGCTAGGAAAACTTTCAAACGAAAGAAAAAACAATATTTTATTAAATTCGCAGAAAATTTGAACTCTAAAACAAACGTTAAGGATAATCAGGCGAGGAGGAAATGTAGGAGATGAGGCGGAGGGGTTTCTATTGTTTTCCTGCAGAAAACCAATCGCTGAATAATAAAATTTTTCCCATTCGGATTCAAAATTCAGGCAATATTAGGGAGTATCTCCGGTTAAAAATTATTTTTGGAGCTAATCAAATTTATTTGTATCTGTTCCACGCATTGAATGGTTTTCAGATTTTTTTTTAATAAATGAAAAAATATTAATTCATGCGAAAAAGTGGCGACATCGTCGGTAGTGTTTTTTTTTTACCAT